TGCGGAGCACATGGCAGCGGGGCGCTCCCCTGCACCGCGCATCTCCGCGATCCGAAGGAGCTTGAGCCTGCTGCGGCCGGTGGCTTCCCCGGCTTTCTGCATGCAGCGCTTGCGAGAGGCCAAGGAGGAAGGGGAGCAACAGGTGGGAGAGAGGAGGCCTCGGGTCGCTGCTGGCCAGTCATCCGTTCTGGTGTCTGGGAAGTGCAGGAAGGCTTGCTGGTATCCTCACAGGCAACGCCTTGGCTTGAAATCGCTTTCCTGGAGACGTTTCTGAATTCTGGGGCTCTTCTGTGTGTAATACTAGGAGTGAAAATGTGCTGGTATCCTCACAGGCAACGCCTTGGCTTGAAATCGCTTTCCTGGAGACGTTTCTGAATTCTGGGGCTCTTCTGTGTGTAATACTAGGAGTGAAAATGCTGCAGAGTCGGTTGTCTTCTGGTTTGGTTGGAGTGCATTCAGGAGGGATTTCAGAGAGTCTATGCAGGCTGCTGGTAGGATACATGGAAGGGGTTGGGGTTTTTTTATTGTTACTTGTTACGAAGTGTTCTGTACCTTGTGACACATTTAAATCCTCACAGGGCTTTTTTGGGTACCTGTAGATGTTTGGGCTGTCTGCCTGAGTATTAAAGTTGCTTCTGACTCCTGCCAGTGCAGTATTCTAGCAGCAAGTTTCACAGGTAAGTTGGTATTACTGAAAGTCTTCCTCTCATCTGTTTGAAATGGTTTGATAGAGGTTGTCCTTCTGAGCTCCTGATGGAGTGTGTAAATAGATTCAGCTGGTGGGTTGTTACCTCTCTTCTGTCGCTCACTGTGTGAATCTTTTTTGATCCCTTCCCTTATTTCCTGTGCAATTTGATCTAGATTACCTCTTTCATCGATGGCAGTCTTTTCTTGTTTCCAGTCATTGTTCTTTCTTGCCCGTTTTTTTTTTTGAGATGAGCAAGAAAGCTGAGCCCAGGCCCAGGCTGCTGCTCTGGCCTCTGGTTTTATAAAGGGCTTGATGATGCTCTGTCTTCCAGAAACTGCTTATAGGAGAGTGTTTGCCTTTCAAAAGGGCACCACGGATCTGGGGGAGGGCTGTACAAAGACTGTGCCGGCTCCTTAAATGGTGGGCAACGCTCTAGCCAATTCATAACGTGCTCATTGAGGGTGATTTGCAGACCCTGATGGTTTTCTGCTGTCTCTTTTATTATTGATTGTTCCTTAAATGAGCAGCTATCCCAACTCTTTGTTAGGCCGCAGAGAATCTGAACTTGTTGTGAAGTCCTTATAAGCCTCTCCTCTCTAGAGTCTGTACTTGCTTGTGCTACAGCTGTGTCCTTTTGACTTACTCCAATTTACTTGTCCTGCACAGGGTTTGGTGTAAGATCCCTCTTATTTTACTCTGTCCCAGGATATGCCCTTTTCTGCCATGTCTTCACCTGTTTCCCACACAGCTTCAGGCTGACTGTTCACTGTAGTGTGAACATGCTGTATATTGGTGACAGTGGCTGACCTGTAGTACAGTTAGCTTATCTGTTACAAGCAGTGAAGATGCAGTGCTCAGGACATCAAGGCTAGATGTACAGACCTATGCTAGAGTTGCCTTGAATTTTAATTTGTACTTAAGGTTTACATTCTTGTTCTTTTCTGTCTGTAGGCAGTGCTACACATAGTAGCCCCCCGGACTGTGAAGTGTTCCTTGTGAAGCAACTCCCTGCTCCCAAAAAAAAAATAATAATAAAAAAAAAAAATATGGGGAGGAGTGTCACCAAAATCCTTTCTGTTCATTCCTGAGCACTTTGGCTTGTGACCTCTTGGGGAATTTGAAATTCCGCCACATTGGTTTCCCGTTTTGTATCCCAGCTAAGATGTGACATGGATGATCATCCCACCGCCCTCTCCTTTTTTGTCTGAGATCTGTCTGCGATGGTTTCACAGTGTAATTGTGCCCCAGAATGGGTGTTAGATTGTTCAGAGGGGTGAATTGGTGGCTATTCCTGGGAGCTGATTTACTGTCTTGTGGGTACTACCAGGCACCCTACTCAGTTCATCTGTGTAATCTGAATGATTGCTTGTAGGTATCTTCTTAACGTAGAGACTGATCAGCTCAGAAATGCGTTAGCTTTTCTCCTGAGCACTTAAAGCTGAGCTCAACTGCTTTAGTTCTGCCTGTTCTTTGTATATTTTTGTGATACTTCAGCGTTTACAAAAGATATCTGGAAAAACCAGGTATATTTCTAGCCATATGTGCTGATAATGCAGCTAGGTGTTCCTAAGTAGTGGGAGTGGTAAGGGAATGAGCTTCACTGCAAGGAGCACTAGGCAAGCTTCTGGCAGAAGTGCCAAGCTTCCAACTTTCAAGGATGGGCTTTATTCTTCTTAGAGCTCAAGGATGCCACTATAATTGTGAATAGAAAGAAATCTTCAGATTATTATAGCTTCTGCTGCTTTTGTGGCCTCTCTTCATGCAAAGTGGTCCGTTAAAATCTGAACTGCTCTGCTGAAGGGGCTTCGGATGCGATGTGAGCTGGAAATGCAGAGCTGCTGTTAATCCTGCATGTGTTGCTCAGTAGGTGCAGATTATTGGCTGTCTTCATCTTTGGAGCAAAGGCAAAGCTTAGAAAGTGTAAGGAACCTAAAGGGTTGGGGAAGTGAAGTACTGGGAAGAAGACTTGATAAAGGGCAATAAGCTGCTTGGGGAGCTGGAAATATTGCCAAGCTTTGGTGCCTGTTTATCACTAAACAAAGGATAGGATGAAGAGTTATGTCCTAACAGTAGGGAAGGGGTGAGGGAAGAAGCTCTTTGGTATGGTGTTGTGGCTGCTTCTTCAAGACCTGTGGAACAGCAGCGCTGGCCTTACCTGCCAGCTGTGTTAAGGCAGCTGACTGGCGTTACGAAGAACGGATGCTGTAGGGAGTGCTTTGCAGGCCACAGATATCCCACATCATTGGTGTGCACAGGAGTTGTTTTCCTCCGTCTGCATGGGAAGCAGTGGGAGTATGTTCTGGGTCCTGGTTTGCTTGCCAGAAAGCAGATGAACGCATGCCTGTTTGCAAATCAAAACAGTGCCCTTGCTAATTCTAAATCTCTGTCTTGGTGCTCCTTTACCTGCTGGCAGCATGCAGAGAAGTTCCACAAGTGGCTGGTCTCAGTTTGGTTTTCTGGCTCTGGTGCTTTCTGAGAATCTTGTCTCATCTCTTGCCTCAACCCGTTCTCCATCTCCCTTTGAGAACAGCGACCTGGTTCCCCATGGTTACTTCTGATACTTTATGCTCCATTCTTTTTTATTTCTATCCTGTTTGCTACCTATAGCCTATTAGGGCTGGCTGATGTAACCTATGTGTCCTTCTCCTTGAATTTGTGCTGGAAATTCTTGATTAAACCGTGTAAGGTATGCTTGCCATCATCTTCCTTCCTGATTAAATGGCAGTTGAGTAGTTCACAGGTGATTTGTTGAAATCTTTTTATTTTAATAGGTATTCTCTTAGGGTCTCATTTCTCCATCCACAGCTCTTTGGCTTTTCAATGAGCTGTTAAATGTATATTGGTAACGATTTGTTCCTGTTTGGGGTGCAAGGACAGATAGTATCCACGTAGAAAGCTTTGGAAACTTATTCTAGAGTGTGTGTATATTTACAGATATAAGGGTTTTTGTTTGTGTTGTTTTTTTTTTTTAATGGAACAAACTAGATGATGAGGAAAGACATTAGACTGATTTTCT